CGAGGGCCTCTAGGGTCTCTAGGGTTTCTAGGGTTTCTAAAGTTTTCTAGGGTTTAGGGTTTAGGATTTGTGGCTTCTGGCAAGCCCTTGTCAACTGTAAACTTAGCCCTCGAAAGCGATAAACATCTACAAGCCCTTCGGGTTGAGAGGCTAGTTGTTGATTCAAATCTTCTGGATGGCGCTGAGCATCACCTACCTAAGAGTTCATGTACCTATACAGTATATGCTTGGGCCCTAAAGCTACTCGATGGAAACCCCCTTAAGGCTCAAGCATGTATGCTATATCGGTACGTGGACCCTTCGGGCTAGTAGTTGCGCTAGTCACCTCTAGCTTCTGTGTGCGGTATGAGCCCCAGATTTTTCTTGATCGACCCGTACTGAAAAAGCAACTCGAGATGTTAGCGTGTTTGTGTGCCTGGCGCAGTTGGACCAGGGTCTACACAGGGACCGTGACTCTTGATGGTTGCCGGGATAGGTTTACGTGTGTAGTGAAGACCTGCCGAATCCGGGGCTTTCGTGTTTTGGGTTCGGGGTTCCCCAACACCTCCTGCTCCCCTTACCCACCCCCCAAGAAACGAAGCCCACCGTTCGCACGTGTTGACGCCTCCGAGGCGTGAACATCGCAAGCAAGCTGTGGGCCTTGAGCCCAGACAGGTTTAGGGTTGAGCATGTAGGGTTCAGGGTTTAGGGCTTATGACACAGACGTTGAGGCCTCAACGTAGCCTTATTCACTTCTGGAAACTCAGCGATATGGCTTTATGGCTTTATGGCCTCATGGCTAAGAATTGCTTTTGTGGTGAAGTCGGTAGGATTAGCAATTCAGTTGAAGCACTTTTGGGGCTTCTAGACCACACGCGCGCGCAGTTGCCGTGCTTATCCTTCAAGGGGTTCACGGGTTCGAGGTGCCATTTGCTGCCGTAAAGCTGTACAAGCCCCAGACCTTTCTGCGTCTGCAGACGTGCTTGTCTAAGCCCTCGTAATTGATCAAACTTAGCACGGAGATCGTTAAGTATTGTGCGCTGACGACATGTAGCTTGAGATGCACACTTGGAGCTTCTGCCCTGGGTTACGTACTGCTTCTTTTGACTTCTAGAACCTAGTTTAGGACCATCATTCTGCCATGGCCAAGAGGAAGGCTCCCCCCACTGTCGACGAGTTCATCAACCAGGTCAACCGGGAGTATGAGCAGGTTCACAAGGCCTATGAGGACAACTTCTGGGCCACCAAGATGGACCTGAAAGGGTGCTCCACCGACGCTCTCACGAAGACGAAGGCTGACCTTGACAACTTCCTGGGCGACACGGAGCTCCTGTCCCAAGTGGAGGACTTCTTGAAGACAGGTAGCCTCTCTGCTGAGCAGAGCAAGGTCCTGCAATGCTTCCAGAGGACCTTCAAGTGCTACATTGTGACAGACCCCGAAGCTCTGGCCATCCGTGCGCAGCTGACGGAACTGCAGGCCGAACTGGCTCAAGACCGCAACAAGATGAACTTGGGCTCCTTGGGGGTTGCAGTGAACGAGTTGGGGGGGTCATAAAACTGCCGTCAACATCAGCGCGAGACAGTCCCTGTCTCCCTAAGAAGGGTTTATGTTCCATGCTCATTCTACGATAAGCGCTACTCTCTAGGGCATAGATGGACCCGAACCCCGTTTAGGGTCCATGCAGTTCCCAAGGCTACACAAACCCTGCGGACGGCGCGTTCATCAAGGCCAGCAGCGTTCAGCTGCGCACCACGATGCGCACCTCGGCGGACCCCAAGGTGCGGAAGGCGTGCTTCGACGGTATGAACCTTGGGGACGAAATGAACCCTAAAAGGGTTTATGGTTCATATGCCTTAATAGGGATTATAGTAGTAATTATAGGGTATATGACCCCAATTTTAGGGTTCATTTGGTCCCCAAGGAACGGCATCGGCGCCTTCGTGGTCGAGAAGTTCTGTGAGATTATCAAGCTCCGGAATCGCCTCGCACGGAGGCTGGGGTACATCGACTACTACGACATGAAGGTGCAGCAGGCTGAGGGGATGTCGAAGGCGGAGCTTTTCGTCGTGCTGGACGACCTTGAAGTCAAGACGCGCCCTGTGATGGTGAAGGCGCGCGAGACGCTTGCGAAGGAGAAAGGGCCCGAGGCGCTGCTGCCGGAGAACATGGGGTACTACCTGTCGGGAGATGTCACGAAGCTGAAGGACCCATTCTTCCCTTTCCAGACAGCCGTCGATGTATGGGCTCGTTCCTTTGCTGGCATGGGCATCAAGTACCGGGGCGCGACGATGCGGCTGGACTTGTGCGACCGGCCTGGGAAGTACTCCAATGGCTTTTGCCATTGGCCGCAGCCCGCGTGGCAGTCAGTGGATGGATGGGTTCCCTCTACGGCCAATTTCACCAGCCTGGCAAGCCCAAGTCAGGTGGGGTCTGGCCTGACGGCCATCACCACGCTGATGCACGAGGCAGGGCACGCAGCACACTTTGCCAATGTCCTCCAAGGTTCCCCGCTCTTCTCGCAGGAGCGGGCGCCGACATCGGTTGCGTATGCCGAGAACCAGAGTATGTTTCTAGACTCGCTGGTGGGTGACGCTGCGTGGATCGGGCGCTATGGGTACAGTGTCGCCGGCGAGGTCCTCCCGTGGTCTATCCTCGAGCAAGACATCCGCGCAACGCACAACTACAAGGTCTTCACACTGCGGGGGATGCTCGCAGTGCCCTTCTACGAGAAGGCGCTGTACGAACTCCCGGAGGCGGATGTCACACCAGCACGCATCACCGCCCTCGCGGCGGAGACGGAGAACAGCATCCAGGGCGGGCTCAGTGGCCGCCCGCTGCTAGCGGTACCGCACATCCTCAGCGACGAGAGCAGCGCGTACTACCATGGCTACGTTCTCGCCGAGATGTCGGTCCACCAGACCCGCAAGCACTTCCTAAGCAGATACGGAACCATTGTGGACAACCCGCAGGTCGGAAAAGACCTAGCCGAGGTGTACTGGAAACCGGGGAACAGCGTGATGTTCCTCGACTTGGTGCAGCAGCTCACAGGGAAGCCCTTGCGTGCGGACGCATGGGTGGAGGAGCTCGCCCAGGACGTCGAGACCGTCGTGGCCGAAGAGCGTAAGGAGTACGATGCGGCCATCAAGGCAGGACCGAAGATCAAGGCAGGGACAGCGGTCGATCTTGACATGCGCATCCTTTTGGTGCACGGAGATGAAGTCGTGGCCGACAGCAGCGAACCAGGTGGGCTGCCAGCGGCTTGCGCCAAGTATGAGGGGTGGCTGAAGAAGCTTTAGTAAGCTGTAGAGTCTATTAGTTAAGGAACGCTTACGAGTTGCAATGGGTTGCAGCTGCTGTGGCGCGCCGCACTTTCAAGCCAAAACAACTTGCAGCAGGTTCCAAGCAGGAATCCTTTTAAGCTTTCAAAGCCCTGACTTAACTACTGCACCGATCACAGCTAAGGACTTTCAGGGCCGATCATCTCACCCCCCCCCCCGCCCCGAAGGGTTTAGGGTTTAGGGTTAGGGTTTAGGGTTTAGGGTTTATTTAGGGTTTAGGGTTTAGGGTTTAGGGTTTAGGGTTTAGGGTTTAGGGTTTAGGCTTTACGGTCTAGGGTCGGGTTTAGGGTTTTATAGGCTTTAGGGGTTCACGTCAGGACATGCAGCATGAACACTTGGCAGTGTAGAAGCGTTCGGAGACACAGCAAGGTCCCCCGGAGATGAGAACCTAGAGTTGGGAACTCATATAGGGGTGTAGGGTTTAGGGTTTAGGGTTTAGGGCCTCAAGCTCTATACGAAGCAGGTTTTATCTTGCTGGTGAGCGCATGTAGGGCTCCTTATAGATTTTTGTGAGTGTATGTCTTTTCGGGGCACTAGCAATACAAGATCGACTTCATATGCCCATTGGCATTTTGTAGACCATACACCCCTCATTTGCGTCTCATCTCTCTTCCAAGGCTAAGGCCGGGGTTTAGGAACATAGGGGACCCCCTAAAAGTAGCCACCCCAAATAGTAGGATCCCTATAGTAGGGAACCCCAAAAAGTATTTTATAGACACCTTAAACCCTGAACCCTCAACCCTAAACCCGAAACACAAAACCCTAAGGATCCCTATAGTAGGGAACCCGAAAAAGTATTTTATAGACACCTTAAACCCTGAACCCTCAACCCTAAACCCGAAACACAAAACCCTAAACCCTACACCCTAATCCCTAAACTCTAAACCCTAAACCCTAAACCTTCAGTTGGGCATCATTTCCTTTCCAAGGCTAGGGCCTAGAAACCTGGCTTGGGCGGCTGCGTGGTGCTGGCAGCTCGAAGTCTGGCGCTCGGAGTTTTTAGGGCTTGCCTAGAGAGTAGCCCCTAAACCCTAAACCCTAAACCCTAAACCCTACACCCTACACCCTAAACCCTAAACCCTAAACCCTAAACCCTAAAAACCCTAAACCACTTATGCCTTGATAAAGGGTGGATACTCTGTATCTTCCTATTTCGGTGCGCTGAAAGTGGGCTTGAGACGTGACCCCAGTGCGACCTCATAGGAGACCCCTCACTCGCTCCTGTAAGGGCAAATGCACCCCAGAACATTGGTACAACTCCCTCCTTTGAGGGTTCAGGGTTTAGGGTTAGGGTTTAGGGTTTAGGGTTTAAGGTTTAAGGTTTAGGGTTTAGGGTTTAGGGTTTAGGGTTTAGGGTTTAAGGTATGCAGGTTACCCTGGGGAGGGTTTAGGGTACCCACCAAGCAGAGTTACGGAACCCCAAGCCGCACAGCCCAAACAGTTCCTGACCGTGTCTCGGCCACATACGTTATCATATGATTGGGGCTGTTATATAGTGTCATGTACATCCCAAGGTTTGGAGTTCAGTTCATTTCCGAATTATGGGTTTTACGGATGAGCGTGTCAAGGCTCGTCGATTTGTCCCTTACACGCATGGGGCCTTCCTAAACCCCCAGCAGTTTTGGGCTGCAACTCAGTCATAACCCCCCTTCATCGCTCGACCGAAAGCGACAAGCTTTTGAATGGCCCGGATTCTCCGGGCCCTGGTGGCAGCTACCTTCTGTGCTGCTTGCCTGGGGGATTATGTCGAGGCAGACTGCAAGGAAGCAGACAGCCCAGGCCTGGCGTTCATCCAGGCGAAGGCGCTAGCGCGGGACAGCGCCGCCGCGAAGAAGGAGGTGGAGTACCGTTGGTCTTCGGGTCGCGGCAACTTCCCCGACTATGGTGTGGCCAAAGACACGGCACCTTTCGACCTCCCCGCTCGGTTCGCTTGGAGCTGGTCTCATCCGCTTGGAAGGTTCCACACCCTGACGTACGGCACCGTCATCGACCACCTGAGCAATGTCTACCTTAGTGGAGCAGATGGAATCCGAAAGTTTGATCCGAGTGGCAAACTGTTATGGGAGTACGCGTCGCTGCCTGCCGAGATGATGGATGCCCCTTCCCTGTTCAACGGAACGATCTACGGAAGTGACACGCACGGGAACGTGGTCGCCCTGAACATGGAAGATGGCAAGGTGGAGTGGAAGACCCATGTTTCCGATGCCATCTGCCAGGACAACGGTTTCACCATGGCCAAGGACGGTGTGGTCCTTGCAGCCAGCGATTGCCGCGAGCCCTCCCCCAACGGAGAGTCCAACCATTTGGTCAAGGCCCTGAACGCCAGCACCGGCAAACAGCTCTGGACCTATGCGCCTGACACTGCCATTTGGAACTTCCTGCCTCTTTTTGTAGACGAGGGCGACTTCGTGTTTCAAGACATGACTGGCAAGGCCTACCGACTGCATCTGCACACCGGCCATGTGATTTGGAAGAGCGGCGGCAAGGAAGGCACTTGGACAGATGGCAGCGCGGCGGTGGGCAATGGCATGGTTTTCGCAGTGAACAACAATCACATGCCCCCAAATGCGTTTTACAGCGAATACAATCCTGGCACGCTGAGTGCATACAACCTCAGTACCGGCAAGCTGGTCTGGAAAGTGGTGACTCAGCGACCACCCAACAATGCTCCTGCCGTGGGCAAGGTGAAGAATCTGCCCGGCATGTCCGTGGTCATGCCCCTGTGCCAGCAGGTGCAGCAAGGAGCCTTCTGCGATGTCCATGTTTACAACGCAGACACTGGAGACTTGCGGTGGGTCTTCCATGGGCCGGCACAGGCGGGCCCCTATCAAGCAGGAGACCTTGAAGGTATGGACATCCGCAGGTGCCGTGGCTTAAGCTGCCATGAAACCATATATGGGGGTTTACGGACATAAGAGACCCCGAAATATGGACCCCATAGTAGGATTCCCTTTTAAATCTTCCGAAGGACCCCAATAAGGTACCCCTAATTACGGACACCCCCCGTATACCTTCCACTGCCTGTGATTTTTTATAAGCGCTGAATGTTATCCTCCTTGCAGCATCAATGCAGACCATGAGCCTTCCACGGATCACGTGCTCCACAAGATTTTAATTATATCCTTGGGAAGTATTTCTTTTTTTGTTTATATAAAACCCAAGAGGATATTAGAAATAGTTGTTTTTGATTAAGGTTCTAAGGGGAGTATTGTCAAGGAGCTCCGGCGTCCGCCCGACGTGCCTACCCAACGGCTGGAGCGCGCCCACCATCGATGCCGAGGGGACAGTCTTCGTCGGCCACGAAGATGGAAACTTCTACGCCCTGCGCGACATGGACGGCGACGGCACGATCTTTGGAGATGATGAGTCGCAGATTTATGACACCAAAGCAGCATTCGCTGGATCCTCTTCACCGGCAGTTGCTCCAGGCATACTGGCAATTGCTTCCTGCGACTCTCTCTTCGTGTTCAAGAAATGATGTAGCTGGTATCAGCGATTTTGCAGCCCCCCTCATAAGTAGGCGGGGCGTCTTCATGGGAGTCCAAAAAAACACGTGCCCGCGTGCTGCTTGCATGGGAGCGCAGTGCTTTAAACCCAAGCTTCCCGAAGCAACCTTTTCGGTGCCCTGCGCTGCTCCTATGAAATCCCCCCCCCCCCCCCCCCAAAACCCAAGCCGTAAGCCCTAAGCCATGCAAGCTGTGCATTCATGGAGCTTCGTACGCAGCTGTCACCTCTGACGGAGGCGGCAGGTCACAGCAAAATCTGCCTAAACCCTAGAAAACCCAAATGGGGGTTTCCGACACTAGGGGTACCCTTGTTGGGGGTCCCTTTACGGGATTCTATTCTATTTGGGGCAAATAGAGGGGTACCCGTATTTTGGGAAATACCCTGTGCCCTAAAGGGTTAAGGGTTCACCTCAAGTGCCAGAAACTTAATTCGTCGTGGGGCTCTTCCTATAAAGCAAATTCTCGGTTTTTTTCGGCAACTTACATTGCACAATGTCGTGGCTCCCAGAGTGAGGGTTTAGGCTTTACTTACGGGTTCTTAGTAAGGAATGAGAGCATGAGGTACCCTTTACTTGATTTTATTTTTTGATTGTAATTTTTATTTTTTAAATATTTATCACATATATAGCTAATATATGTATATATATATATATGCCCGAAACCCCGAAGCGGCTGACAACTTAGGTTTTTAGCGTTCCAGGCTCTAAGGGTTTAGGGCCTCATCCCAGGAACCCTTGATGACTCAAAGCCCTCAGAGTCTTAACTCTTAGTGGCTTATAGGGTTTAGGGCCAACACACAAGGGGCAGGCCCCGAAGAAGTAAGCCTTTCTTTTTGATTTCCCGTTCAAACCCTAAACCCTAAATCCAGGCCCTAGACCCTAGACCCTAAAGCCTAAACCCTTACTGCAAATGGTCCCCTGGCAGTTTCCTTAAGGAGAAGGGGAGGGGACAAAGAGCTCAATGTTCCCTCGCATTCAACGTTCCCCAAGCTTGCGCACCTTAAGGACCCGATTTCGGGGGTTGAGGGTTTATATAGGGTTTAGGGTTTAGCAAACCTGAGTTTTGGGTTTATGGTATACAGCGCTTTCAAGCACTCGTACTCGGTACCAAAGGCGCTCCAAGGCGTATTGCAAAGTACAGGACAAGCATACTTCGTGACGGGGAGAGAAACGCGAACACCAACCTGCACAGCTTGTTTCTGCTTCAGGGTTTAGGGTTTAGGGTTTATAGGGTTTTGGGTTTATAGGGTTTATAGGGTTTATAGGGTTTATAGGGTTTATAGGGTTTATAGGGTTTATAGGGTTTAGGGTGGAACCTCCTGCTGTGTGAAAACCGCATGGCCTGAACATGTCCGGGCGCAACCTTCCAAAGGCTGCTGCAAAAGGGTTTAGGGTGTGGGCTTTAGGGTTTAGGGTTTAGGGTTTAGGGTTATAGGCGTCCAACAATTTGATGTTTGACCCAAAAACATCACGTGTCGGAGCTCCAGATGCTGCGGAAGCCCGAAACCCCATAAGCCCGAACTACAAGGCTCCATGTAACAATGTACCTGCATGCAAAGAAATCTACTTGGGCACCGAAACTACAAGATGGACACCAAATTAAAGGCCCAAGTATACAATTACCAACATAGCTACATGGACCCTTATAGGGAAGCCCTGAACTTTAAACCGCTCATAGCCGCGAAGGTCCTGCCGTCAGCAGTCTTCCGGGAGGCCAGGACGAGCACTGGCCTCAGAACCTCTGCCTGGCCCCCTGTCGGGCCTTGTGGGGTGTGCCCGGCAATTTTCTGCGAGGTCAGTAGGGTTTGGGGTTAGGAAGGAAGTCGTGTAAGCCGTAAACCATGGACTCTCCACCCTATCAACTAGCCCTAAACCCTGAAGTCTAATCTCTGAAGTCTAAACCTTCAACCTTGAACCACAGTCTTATGAATTGCGCTGTTTAGGGTTTAGGGTACCTCCCCCCTCCCCCTCCCTTTAAGACCAGTACCTTGCCATCCCCAAGCAGTTTTTGGCTGAAGCTCCTCAGCCATTCTTCATCCCTTTTGGGTTCATACCGAAAGTGTTCAACCTTTTGAAGTTATGGCCCGGATTCTCCGGGCCCTGGTGGCAGCTACCATCTGGGCTGCTTGCCTGGGGGATTACGTCGAAGGAGACTGCAAGGAAGCCGACCGCCAGGGCCTCTCTTTCATCCAGGCGAAGGCACTAGCACGTGACAGGGCCATCGCGAAGAAGGAGGTGGAGTACCATTGGTCTTCTGGTCGCGGCAACTTCCCCAACTATGGTGTGGCCAAAGACGCGGCACCTTTCGATCTCTCCGCTCGGTTCGCTTGGAGCTGGTCTCATCCGCTTGGAAGATTCCACACGCTGACGTACGGCACCGCCATCGACCACCTGAGCAATGTCTACCTTAGTGGAGCAGATGGAATCCGAAAGTTTGATCCGAGTGGCAAACTGTTGTGGGAGTATGCGTCGCTGCCTGCCGAGATGATGGATGCCCCTTCCCTGTTCAACGGGACCATCTACGGAAGTGATACGGAAGGGAACGTGGTCGCCCTGAACATGGAAGATGGCAAGGTGGAGTGGAAGACCCATGTTTCCAATGCCATCTGCCAGGACAACGGTTTCACCATGGCCAAGGACGGTGTGGTCCTTGCTGCCAGCGATTGTCGCGAGCCCTCTCCGCAAGGATCGGCCAATCAATTGATCAAGGCTCTGTGTGCCAGCACCGGCAAACTGCTCTGGACCCATGCGCCTGACACTCCCATTTGGAACTTCTTGCCACTTTTTGTAGACGAGGGCGACTTCGTGTTTCAGGACATGACTGGCAAGGCCTACCGACTGCACCTGCACACCGGCAAAGTGATTTGGAAGAGCGGCGGCAAGGAAGGCACTTGGACAGATGGCGGTGCAGCAGTGGGCAATGGGATGCTTTTCGCCGTGAACAACAACCACAAGCCCCACTACACGCCCCCAGGTGCTCAGTATGCCAATGGCGAATACGTTCCTGGCACGCTGAGTGCATACAACCTCAGTACCGGCAAGCTGATGTGGAAAGAGGTGACTCCGCGACCACCCAACAATGCTCCTGCCGTGGGCAAGGTGAAGAATCTGCCTGGCATGTCCGTGGTCATGCCCCTGTGTCATCAAGGGCATAAAGGAGCATTCTGCGATGTGCATGTTTACAATGCAGACACTGGAGACTTGCGGTGGGTCTTCCATGGGCCAGCTCAGAGGGCACGTTTGCAGGCAGGAGACCGTGAAGGGGTTGGTGACCGCCTGTTTCTCTTTTGCATTGGGATCTTAATGCTTTTCAGTTCAAGCATGGATGGTTGTCCTTATTGAAACATCATGTAGGCTATAACCTTCCAGGGATTATGTAGTTTGGAAGTTTTAAGGAGCACGGGCATCCGCGCCATCTGCTTACCCAACGGCTGGAGCGCGCCCACCATCGATGCCGAGGGAACGGTCTTCGTCGGCCACGAAGATGGGAACTTCTACGCCCTGCGCGACATGGACGGCGATGGCACGATCTTTGGACCTGACGAGGTGCAGCTTTATGATACCAAGGCCGCATTTTCAGGATCCTCTTCCCCGGCTGTTGCCCCAGGCATTCTGGCCATCGCTTCCTGCGACTCGCTCTTCATGTTCAAGACATGATAGAGCTGCGGTCACCTGCTACCTTCATGCCGACAAGTGAGTGTCAAACATGCGGCCGAGTGTGCTGACTTCATTGGGGAGCGCAAGTGGTGCCTGCCTGACACATCCATGACTCGCTAACTGTTCGGAGATGTATTGGGCACTTGCTTTGCCGGGCTCAGCACTGCTCCTGTAGTTGCTGTTTAATTCACAGCCCATGACTCCAAAAGCTAAGGCCCAGCAAGCTCTGTACACGATTACGTCAAGCCTATTTGTGCAAGTCTAGTGTATGTATGTGTGTATATATATGTATGTAATCGTTGGATGCATAGGGTTCTTTTTGCCGGTCTTTCTGAGTTGAGGGCTGAGGGTTTGTATGTTTGGGAGCTGTCATTTCAACATAGGGCCTGTGCCTTTAATTGACTGGGTTGTGTTTAAGGATCTGTTTCGCTACCTACATGAGCTATTATACCTTATAACCCCTTCAAATTGCCCTTAAACGGGTGGTTAGGGGATTATCAGGCCTAGTAGCCCATGCTTGTACTTCTCCCTGAACTCCGGAACCGCGAAATCCCCTGAGCGCCTCCAAACGCTAGATCACTCAAACCCTCGACTCAACAGCCGAAACAGGCCAGTGCTGGGATCAGCAGAGCCCTAGCCATAAACCCTATCGGGGGGGGGGGGGGGGGGGTGGGGGGGGGTGGGTGTTGAGTTGTTTTCTCCGGCGTGCAGCTTTGCGTTTCAGCCCTGAGGCGGTACAAGCGCTAGCAAAAGATGCCATGGACAACTGGCACTCAGTACCGGGGGCCTTGGGGGCCAGAAGGGATCTTACTCCGCAAAGTTTAGGTTTTAGGGCCAAGAAGTCCCACAACCCAACCTCCCTAGAACCTCCCTTATCCCCCAAAAACCCTCAGAACAAGGACCCAGAGTAGGCCCTTATTCCCTTTCTGGGGCTTTGGGTTTACTTGTAAACTTGGGTCTAGATAAAGCCACTGAATCTGCTTCCAGTCATGTCAGCAGGCGCTTGCCCCCCAAACAGCCCAGATGAACCCTCTTAAAAAAATTGGTTTACTGTTCCATATGCCCTAAGGCCCTAATTCATCCCAATAGTAGAGTGGGTAGCCTTTAACCTTTTTTCTTTATCATAGTGGGGTAACATTTTACATTTTTAAGGGTACTTAAACTCAATAAGAATAAAATTTTTAAATTTGTATTCCCATCCCAACTACAAACCAGTTTTGGGGGTAGTAGAATCCCCTTGTCATCCCAAAGGTTAACCTTTCATGCCCCCAGGTTGCTGGACAACTAGGCCATCGGCTCCATAGGGTTCAGGGTTTAGGGTTTAGGGTTTAGGGTTTAGGGCTTAGGGTTTAGGGTTTAGGGTTTAGGGCCCTACGCAACGAAAAGCGATCCTCAAGCCGACTACGTGGACCCAGGCACAGGGGGGCAAGACGGCGCATGGCCCCGTCACGTCCCGAGTTTAGGGTTTGGGGTTTAGGGCTTGGGGTTTGGGGTTTAGGGTTTGGGGTTTAGGGTTTAGGGTTTGGGGTTTAGGGTTTAGGGTTTGGGGCTTGGGGCTTGGGGTTTAGGGTTTAGGGTTTGGGGTTTTAGGGTTTAGGGGGACCCATACTTGGTCGCCCAGCTTCTTGGTTCTGAATTCCCAATATACAGTAACGGCACCCTGCTTATCATATGCTACTAAGCACATAATTTCACATACTGTCCCTTTCTATAAGAATACTAATATGCGCAAGTATAAGTAGAATCTTCCAGAGCAAACGGCTCTGAAACACACAGGCCCCCACAACAATACACGGGATTCCACCCGGGGGACCACATGAACCCTAAAAATTGGGGTCATATACCCTCTACTACTATAACTCCTCTTCAGGTATGTGAACCATAAACCCTTTTAGAGTTCATGCGGTCCCCTATAGGCAAAAGGAGGGTTCTGCAGCTCCAGGGCGCCTTGTCCACTCCCAAGAGGATCCCGTGATCCAAAGCGCTTTTTCAAGCTCCGGAAAGCCCCACACCCTTGGAAACCTATACCCGAACCTTGAGGGGGCCAAATGAACTCTAAAATTGGGGTCATATACCCTCTACTACTATAATTCTTATCAAGATGTATGAACCATAAACCCTTTTAGGGCTCATTTCGTCCCCAAGGAATGTCAAGCCCAACGCCTTGTAGGGCCCCTCCCTGTAAGGCCTTACGACTCTTAGTAGCTAATGATTGGGGTTTAGGGTTTAGGGTTTTAGGGTTTAGGGTTATTAGTCTGATAGATGATGTTCATCCCCCAATAGAGTTAAGCATGGTGTTGGGGCCCGAAAACAGTAGCTGTTCTGGGGATCCAGGTAGGGTTTAGGGTCTAGGGTTTAGGGTTTAGGGTTTAGGGTTTAGGGTTTAGGGTTTGGGGTTTATGGTTTTAGGGTTTGGGGTTTGGGGTTTAGGGTTTAGGGTTAGGGTGTTAGGGTTTAGGGTCGCCAACGTTCGCGCTTTTCATGGCTTCACGGGGCCTGTCACCTGTTTTCTATTCTAGATGCTGAGCTCGTTTTGGGGTTTAGGGTTGAAGGTTCCTCCTTCCTACCCCACCCCAAGAGGCATCAGGGGGTGCTGTTATTATTGTTATTTAAGGTTTCTTAAGAGTGTGCTACCAGTAGGGGGCGGGGGTCTGAAAGCCCACGCCCCCAACCCTAAGCCGCTCACAACTGCTGACCTGGACTTGCGGCCCAATCTGGTTCTCTGGGCTGTATACGGCTTGGACGCTCAGTGTTTACGTTTAAGGTCTTTTAAGCTCTCCGACGTTCCTAAGTGTTGAAAGGTCAAGACTTGCCGTACGAAAACTTGGCAGAGCAGTGCTGATTGTTGGGAGACATTGCAGTTGCACCGCCCTACAAGCGAGGCTGGGACGGCTGCAATCGTGGTACTGCGAGCTCAGAGATCGCAACTTCATGGCGAGGCGTCCACGCCGAAGCCAGGTGCTTACAAGAGTCGCAAGCGCTCAAGCCTCAAACTCTTCACACACGACTACTATAGGACCCTATGCCGCAGAGCCCGAACGGTTCCTGACCATGCCTAGGCTATATTCATGGCTTCTGCGTGCGAGTGCGTGTATTCGTGTGCGTTCATGTGCCCACGCGTGTGTTGTGTGTGCGTACCTGTGAGTGCGCGGATGCGTTCTCGCGTGTTTCTTTGCAACCGAATTTTGTGGAGCTTGGGCAACAGATTGGCAATTAAGGTCCCGGCGTGCCCTGAACTGCAGCTGGAAAACAGAAGAATAGCAAAGCCCATGCACAGATCGTCGTTTGGAGCAACATGTGCATGATCACTTAACCCTGTCGGGGGTCAGCAAGTATGGAAGAAAGAAATTAAGTTGGTGTGTCTGTCGATGTGTCTGTCGGTGTGTCTGTCTCTGTCTCTGTGTGTGAACGTGAGTGCGTGTGGGTGTGTGGGATTCGCGTGTATGTGCATGAGACGGTTGGGGCGGTCTCGAAGTTAACCCTACAGCATTTTCCCCCCGCTCGGATGTGTATGTTCCCAACCTCCCCGCAGTTTTTGGCTGGAGCCCTTCAGCCACTCCTCCTCGCTCTTTTGTTCGTACCCACAGCGAAAAGGTTTTTAAACGACATGGCCCGGATTTTCCGGGCCCTGGTGGCAGCTGCCTTCTGGGCTGCTGGCAGGGGGGATGCCGTGGAAGGAGACTGCAAGGAAGCTTATACTTAGCCAACAGATGAACTTTAAACCTTTTGGGTTTCCTTATGTAGTAGGAAGAGTATCCCTAAACCCTAAACCCTAAACCCCAAACCCCAAACCCTAAACCGTTTCCCCGTGGTTATTGGAGAAGCAAGGATGACCACCCAGGCCTCGCCTTCATCCAGGCGAAGGCACTAGCACGGGACAGCGCCAGCGCGACGTGGCAGCCCAGTGATACCCTTTGCCCTTTTTTGCGTTCTGGTTTAGGGTTTAGGGTTTAGGGTTTAGGGTTTAGGGTTTAGGGTAACCAACCAAAAAAGCCTGGTTATAATATGGTTACTGGGCTACTAAGGCGAAGAAGGAGGTTGAGTACCACTGGTCTTCGGGTCGCGGCAACTTCCCCAACTATGGTGTGGCCAAGGACACGGCACCGTTCGACCTCCCCTCGCGGTTCGCCTGGCACTGGTCTCATCCCCTTGGAAGGTTCCACACCCTGACGTACGGCACCGCCATCGACCACCTGAAGAACGTCTACCTTGGTGGAGAAGATGGAGTCCGAAAGTTTGATGAGAGTGGGAAACTTTTGTGGGAGTACTCGTCGCATCCTGCCGAGATGATGGATTCTCCCTCCCTGTTCAACGGGACGGTCTACGCAAGTGATACGGAAGGGAACGTGGTCGCCCTGAGCATGGAAGATGGCAAGGTGGAGTGGAAGACCCATGTTTCCAATGCCATCTGCCAGGACAACGGCTTCACCATGGCCAAGGACGGTGTGGTCCTTGCAGCCAGCGATTGCCGCGAGCCCTCCCCCAACGGAGAGTCCAACCATTTGGTCAAGGCCCTGAACGCCAGCACCGGCAAACAGCTCTGGACCTATGCACCTGACACCGCCATTTGGAACTTCCTGCCTCTTTTTGTAGACGAGGGCGACTTCGTGTTTCAAGACATGACCGGCAAGGCCTACCGACTGGACCTGCGCACCGGCAAAGTGATTTGGAAGAGCGGCGGCAAGGTAGGCACTTGGACAGATGGCAGCGCGGCGGTGGGCAATGGGATGGTTCCTTGGGACTAAATGAACCCTAGAAGGGTTTATGGTTCATATACCTTAATAGGAATTTATAGCAGTCAGAGTATATGACCCCCCCCCCCCAATTTTAGGGTCCGTTTCGTCCCCAAAGGTGTTTGCAGTGAACAACAACCACGCACCCCCCAATGCCTTCGCCAGCGAGTTCAGTCCTGGCACGCTGAGTGCATACAACCTCAGTACGGGCAAGCTGATCTGGAAAGAGGTGACTCCGCGACCACCCAACAATGCTCCTGCCGTGGGCAAGGTGAAGAATCTGCCGGGCGTTTCCGTGGTCATGCCCCTGTGTCAGCAAGTGCATCTTAGTAGCTGAGTGAGCACACTTTACACTTTTTGGGATACTACAATCCCCTATAGAACTGACAGTGTACCTCGTTTTTTTTTTTTTTGGGGGGGGGGCTCATGAACTCAGCAACCAAGGCACCAGGGAGCTTTCTGCGACATCCATGTTTACGACGCAGACACCGGAGACATGCGCTGGGTCTTCCATGGCCCGGCACAGAAGGAGATCTTGCAGGCCGGAGACCTCGAAGGCGTAGCAACCCGCAAGCTCCTTGCTTTAACATGCCCAGCTTTCATAGAATTGGGACGAAATTGCCGTTTTATGGCCTCCTGCTTTTCTAAGCGCTGAATGTGAACCTTCTTGCAGCATGAACGTGGACCGTAAACCTTCCGGGGATCATGTTGTCTAGCAGACTTAAGGAGCTTGGGCATCCGTGATACGTGCCTGCCCAACGGCTGGAGCGCGCCCACCATCGATGCCGAGGGAACGGTCTTCGTCGGCCACGAAGATGGAAACTTCTACGCCCTCCGTGACGTGGATGGCGACGGCACGATCTTTGGACCAGACGAGGTGCAGCTTTATGATACCAAGGCAGCGTTCCTTGGTCATAGTTGGGTAACATTTTAAAACTTTAAGGGTACTTAAACCCAACAAGGAATAGGAATTTGAGTTTTTAAGACTATCCCAACCATGAACTAGGTTCTCTGGATCCTCTTCCCCAGCCGTTGCCCCCGGCATGCTGGCAATCGCTTCCTGCGATTCGCTCTTCGTGTTCAAGTAAAGAGTGCCGAAACGTGAGTGTCAAAAATGCGCCCGAGTGCTTCAAGGGAAATTTGAGGAACCTATGCTCGCATGTGGCTGTGGCACGGGATGTGTTAAAAGACCTAGTAGTAGAGTAGGCAACATTGAACCTTTTTGGGGTAGTATAATCCCCTTATACTCCAAAAGGTTAACCTGTGATTCCCCCAGGTTACTGGACAACTAGGACCCTAAACTTAAAACCCTAAACCCGAAACCCTAAACCCGAAGCCCTAAGCCCTGTCCAGTCATGAAGATCCTCTTCCGCCTGCCCAGGTCAGGATGAGATGCGGACGCCCATGCTGAGTGGCGCATGCTCTAGGATAGACCCGAAGACGGGCCCTGTATAGGCTTACGTATGGGGTTTAGGATTTAGGGTTTAGGGTTTAGGGTTGTGGGGGTTCCCCATGCCCACAAGCATCGCAGAATCCTGCTCCAAGGGACCCTCAGCAAAAAGAACCCTGACTTTTGGAAACTAACCACTGCCCTAAACCTCGTAACCCCGGGCCTGAACCCTAAACCCTAAACCCGACAACCTTACACCCTAAACAATAAACCCTAAACCGTGTAAACCAGAAGGTGGGGCTGCATGCTTCAGGGAGATATAGTGCACAACAAGCGGCACCAGTTTTGGGTTCTAGAGCTCTAGGGTTTGGATCTTTCAGAAAAGAGCTTAAGGCTTATTTGTGTGTAGGGACTATAGGCAGGTTTGGCCTTAAGTTTCAAGGCTAGGATTTTTTATTTGCTTCAGGGTTTAGGGTTCTAGGGTTTGGGGTTTTAGGGATCCCTAATCCCTAAACCCTAAACCCTAAACCCCAAACCCTAAACCCTAAACCCTAAACCCTACACCCTGGTTGAGTGTGTGGAGCTGTCTCCGGTGGCCCACGACCCATGCGCGCGCACAAACCATGCTGGTGCAAAGCATACTTATGGAGGGACCATGGGGGGATGCTATTTTTGCCGACCCTTTTTGGCAGGCCCGTGGATTTGAACTTCAAGATTCCAGCTAGATGGTTTTAGAGTTTTCCTCGTATCAACGACATATCCAAATCAATTGGCAATGACGGTCGGATGATAATAATTACAACTTTGAAGGTCAAGCATTTTACAGAAATGCGGCAAACATGTATGTTCTTTTCACTTCACAAATCCATGTAGCGTTCGTACAAATAATGACTGACAATTACGATGTCACATTTTATTCATGTTTCTTACCAATATGTTTCGTCAATCATACATAACTTGTTCATCTCCAGCTGGTGAACTTTTCACAGGTCAACGTGATGTATTTTGACAGCAAGAATGTCCAACAAATGGTTCAACACTCATACACCAAGCAGCCATGCCACATACTAATGCCAAGAGCCGCAGCAAGCGCCAACGTTGATTTGCCTGGCTTTGCAAATCTTGTGCCAATCATACGTGTGCATGTGTATGTCTATGTATTTATCTATACATGTGCATATTCTATCTATATATATTCTATATATATATTCTATATATATATATTCTATATATATATATATTCTATATATATATTCTATATATATATATATATATTCTATATATATATATATATTCTATATATATATATTCTATATATATATATATTCTATATATAGACAACCTACTTCTAGTTAATCGTCATCAAGCCGCTCGATCAAGCCCCAGCCTTGAAACCCTGAGCCCTCAGGACCAACTACCCAAAGCCCAAACCCCAAACCCTAAACCCTAAACCCTAAACCCTAAACCCCAAACCCTAAACCCTAAACCCCAAACCCCAAACCCTAAACCCTAAACCCTAAACCCTGAACCCTGAACCCTGAACCCTGAACCCTGAACCTTGAACCCCAAACCCAAACCCGGTAGTTCCCCCTCGAAGCATTAAACCTCAAACCCGTGGACACGCCCAGGGCCAGAGGCCAACTTGCAGGCCATAATCTACACAACTAAAAAAGGGCACATTTCCACAAGGTTGCGGCTCCATTATAGGGTTCAGGATTCAGGGCTTGGAGTTTTGGGTAAAGACCCAACCCTGGTTCAGGATGTAGGGCTTAGAGTTTTGGGTAAAACCCGCAACACAAACCCTGCATAGGGTTTAGGGTTCAGGGTTTAGGGTTTAGGGTTTAGGGTTTCACAAACCCTAAGCCTTTCTGAACCCCGCAAGTTGCCCAGCCGTCCAGGTACGACTGCGTCGACGAGGACTGGAAAACCAGCGAGGTCTACGAGGTCCTTGCCCGCAGCCCTAATCTGCTTCAGTGTTGAAAATCATCTTAGGGTTTAGGGTTTAGGAGTTTAGGGTATAGGGTTTAGGGGTTAGGGTTTAGGGTATGAATACTTAAACCCAAGAAGGAACAAGCATGGTCATGTTTAAATAGTACCCCCCAAGCAATGGTGCAGTAATTGGCTTAGAAGCAGCATGTTCCATTGGGAGCTTATGTTCTCCTAGATTAATACAGCGTCGCAGGAATGAAGGCCGGTTCACAACTTCTTAAAAGCCTTTTTGCAAAAGGCTCCGCAACACTCTTAGAGCTGTCTATTGAGTTTAGGGTTTAGGGTTGAGGGGTTTCTGTTTGTGTGGCTGGAGGCCTTATTAACGTGATAAATTGCAGGCCCTTCTCGAGACCGAGGCGGCCGAGGAGGCAGAAAAAGCCGCGCCCCAGCAGGAGGCAAATGGGAAGGGGCATTTTCGTCGCCAAAACCCAAAGCCCGAAACCCGGCCAAACCGTGACCCTAAACCCTACACCCTACACCCTACACCTAAAACCCTGAGCCCTAAACCCTAAACCCTAAACCCTAAGCCCAGGGGTGCAGGGCTTGGGGCTCAAGAGTTCAGCTTTTGACTGCGCAACCTTGAACCTGGTCGGGTTTAGGGTGTAGGGTGTAGGGTTTAGGGTTTAGGGTTTAGGGTTTAGGGTTTAGGGTTTAGGGCTAGGGGTGCAGGGTTTCGGGTTTGGAGCTTTGGGTTTAGTGAACCCGAGACCCTATACCATCGGCAGAGGAGACGGAGCTGGCAGATGGCGAGGGCATGACCAGGGAGGAGCAGGTCACATCGCGAGGGTTGGTGGGGTGATGTCTCCCAGTTTAGGGTTCAGGGTTCAGGGTTTAGGGTTGGGCCCCACCCCCGTTCTTTCAGGCTTCAACTGGCTGTGACTGTGACTCACAAGTCCAGGGTACGTAGCAGGCTCGCTGCTTGCTGCGGCGTAGGCTTCGTAGCAAAGCCGAACTTTACCACACTGGACATTTCCATCCGTGACCAGCCCCTCCTCTGCAACAAGACCGGTCAAGCGGTGTGCGTGTGAAGCATGACCGGTCGTGACGCACATCATGCTGTGTGTAAGCAGTTGGGTGGGAGGGAACCCTAAATCAACAACCCGATATGCTATTCAGATTCAGAGCCATGTGGTCCCTAACGCACGTTCTGAGATGCGTATGAACTTTGCTTCGGAGAGCGCATCGTGGCTCCTTTGAGGCCCCCAAGACCCTCGATTCCCAAGCCAGAGGTTTACGCCTAAACCCTACACCCGACACCCTACACCCTAAACCCTAAACCCTAACCCTAACCCTAAACCCTAAACCCTAAACCCTAAACCCTAAACCCCAAACCCTAAACCCTAAACCCTAAACCCTAAACCCTAAACCCCGGGCTTGCAAGAGCTTCCAGACTGTGCAGGGCTTTGGGAGACCACCAGCCACCCAGTTCCCGAAATTGCGTCTGCTGGGAAGTTCAGGGTTTAGGGTTTAGGGTTAGGGTTTAGGGTAACCAAATTACGACTGTACTGATAACCCAAGTTATAACCATATTAGGGCACTTAAGGGGGGACAAAGTGGGTTTTTAGTACAGTTATAACCCTAAACCCTAAGCACTTAAGGGCCTAAAACGTGGGTGATAAGCACAGCTATATTTGGTCCTAAACCCTAAACCCTAAACCCTAAACTCTAATCCCTAAGCCCTAAACCCTTTTGAGTACCATGAACCTCCAAGCGAGCCTCCACCGCAGGACGCTGCGCTAGAGGAGCTCTTTGCGGAAGCCGCCAAAGGCGCCCAGCAACCCTCTATACTGGATTTAGGGCTTGGGGCTTGGGGTTTAGGGTTTAGGGTTTAGGGTTTAGGGTTTAGGGTTACAATCCTGAAAGCCCCAAGCTTATGAACTCCAACCTCAACCCTGCAAGTAAGGCTACCCCTCGCCACCCTCCTTGCGGGCAGGACCACCCTGCATGGAGCCATTGTAACATTCGGGGGGAGTTGGCTTGAAAGCCTGAAGCCAGAGTTCCATGCCACAATTCCGTCCCTAAACCCTAAACCCTAAACCATGTACGGGGCCTTTGGTGCCTTCAGGGGCCTTATCTGGGGGGAGGACCTTAGGAAGGCTTAACAGGGATTGGGGTCCAAGGATATTTAGGGTAGGGTTTAGGTTTAGGTTTTGGGGTTTGGGGTTTAGGGTCTAGGGTTTAGGGTTTAGGTTTTAGGGTCTAGGGTTCTGGGTTCTGGGTTTAGGGTTCAGGGTTTGTGCACGGAGCCAACTTGGTTTGCTTCGGCCGGGGAACTCATCTTTATGCATCACCTCGCTTGACCCCCTTAAGATGTCACGTGTTCGTTTTTATCGATTTATTTAAGCCGGTACACTTGTCCCTGAACTACGCAGAGTGCCATAATTATCACTCTACGTCCAACAGATCACACACCAGAAGCCCCCCAACCCCCTAAACCCTAAACCCTAAACCCTAAACCCGAAACCCTAAACCCTAAACCCTAAACCCTCAGCAAAGTAAGAACTCTTGGCTCCGGACCTGATGGCTTTTGGGGGGGGGCAACAGAGCCCAGGGCCGCCACACGATGGATATCTCTCAAATTTCATACTAAGATCCCCATCATTTTGGTTGCAATAGGGGTATGGGGCTCCCTGACCCTAAACCCTAAACCCTAAACCCTAAACCCTAAACCCTAAACCCTTAAACCCATCATTCTGGTTGCAATAGGGG